CGTGACTTACTGTTGCTGTTTATAATCCTAATTCAGGATGCATCCTGATATTATCATACGCATATGATGCCGCCAGCTGGGTGCAGCTCAGGCAACTTTCAGCTAGAACCTGCATTCCACCAACCTCTTTTCAAAATTGGGAAGCTCCTGGTTTTGCAAATTGGCAATCTGAGCACTGCTTTTAGCCAGAAGTTACCCAGGCTGCACCCGGCCAGTGGCATTGGTGGCATTTTGCATATGATAATACCACGATGCACCCCGAATTAGGATTGATAACGGTAGCAGTAAGTCGCGTTTTTAAGCCATGCGATAAAGTTAAAGCTGCCATTCCAGAGTATACTGATAGAAAGTAACTGCTACTGAAATGCCAATAAATAAGATTTACTCCTAAGCAAATACACTTAGGACTGGGTCCAACTGGAAATGGTTTAATATTTAGCATGTCAGTGAATAAAGATAGGAGATAACACAATGAATGGAAGCTCCCTATATCTTGATTTTCAATCCATATATTAAACATTTTGAAGTGAATAAATTAGGAACAAAGAACTCTTAAACTACACAAAAAGCAGTTGCATTTATGACTGTGGTTTACTGAGCTGCCACCGTCTCCTAAATTAATTCATATTTTCTCATCACATCATGTGTAAAACAGCCTGATTTTTATTACTCCTGACAACACCTAAGAGATTAAGTAGAAATTGGTCTGGACCTAAGTTAAAATCTATGGGAAGCTCATGTTGCCAAAACCTACCAAGGAGCTGGGAGGGAAATACACTCATATATAGCAGTGGAATATTTGATCCAACCTCAATGAATATTTGGCGTGTTGAAGTCATCCTACTCATGCACACGATAGAAAAGGTTATAAAATATGATGACACTTAGCTGTACTTCTCGCTGTCGTCGGAATCAGGTGGGACTGTGCAGATGCTGGACCGATGCCTGAATGCTGTAATGGGCTGGATGATGGCCAGTCTACTGAAGCTGAATCTCCATAACTTTAGAAGTTTGGTAGATTGTGGGAATCAGGTTAAGTTACCTGTCCTAGACGGAGCTGCACTCCCCTCTATAGGGAAGGTGCACAGTTTGAGAGTACTCCTGGATCCATCTCTTTCACTGCAGGGCCAGGTAACTTGGCCCACTTGCTATCTGGACATGGATAACCTAGCATTGGTAGTTCATGCACTGGTAACTTCCAGCTTAGACTGCTGCAGCATGTTCTAGGTAGGATTTAGGAGCAGTGGAATCACTAGGAGGGGATGTGGTCTGCACCAGGTGACACCCTAAGGGGGACGACACTACTGCTCCTCAGATATCTGACTTTTGGCAGAAATGGGCTGTGCTTGTTTCCATTTAAAATGCTGTAAGACAGGGGTAGTCCCTTTAAGGGCCGAGGGACTTCAGCTCCCAGAATCTCAGGAGCTATTGGCCAACATGGGACTATTGGCCAACATGGCTGAGGCTTCTGGGAGCTGACGTCCCTCGGCCCTTAAAGGGGAAAGGTTGCCTACCCCTGCTATAAGAGATGGGGTGAGTGGGGTGAGACTCAGTGAAGGGAGAAAGGAGGGCCTCAGGTTTGTTTGTTTGTTTTTAAATAAAATTTAAATTTTAAATTAAAAATGTTAATTTTAAAAGAAAATTAAATTAAAACTTTTATTCTTTTTAAATTTTATTGAAAACATCACATTTTACCAATTTTTCAGCATAACCACATGAAACTATGCATTTGCAAATATATTTAGGCTGTGCATATGATATTATAACTTAAAGGTATAATTTTCATTTTGCTAGTTATTTATGTCACAACTATTACCATTAGATCCAATGATATGGGAATTATGATTTATAAGTTACATTCGTACAAAAAACACTACAAAGGATTTTGTATGATATAGTAATGGGAGGAGGTCAATGAGGCAATGACACCATGAGTTACCGCACTGGGTGATACCAACTCTAGTGATGCAACTGCTTAGGACAAGAGACACAGAGACAGGAGATTTCAGGTAACTATAGTGAAATAATTCATGGATTGCCAGGATGTGGGCCCATAGCTATGTTGAAGTATCTATATATATGTGCATACACCCTTGCACCCAGTACTAACACCAGCAGCTGGCAATCCTGGGAAGCTGTAAAGGCTCCAAGAAAGCCCCAGGAAAAACCACAGCAGATGCCTCCCTGCACCATTCCTTCTTGAGTATCATCCAGTATCAGAGCTGCTGTTTAAATTTGCAGAATACCCTAAAATATGTTGGGATTGTCCTCTGGGAGAGTCCATTCTTTACTTTCCAAATAGCCAGAAAAGCAGTTTATGCTCAACTGGTGATATTTAAAAGCCAAATAACATATTTAAAAGCCAAATAAGGAGATGTTCTTTTCTTTTAAAGAGAGTATTATTGTCAGCTAGATCAAAACAGGCTTTCTCAAAATCTTTTTCTTCCGTCAAACAATCAGAAACGCCAATTGCATTTTGCTGTGTTTTAATAAGGTAGCAGGTGGATAAGAATTTATAGGAGGGAATGGCTATAATCCCAATTTATACAAGCCAAAAATGATATCTTAATAAATTAGCATAATTTATTCATCAGCCTACAGATGAATGCAGGCCATTCACTCCTGCTTCTCTCCTCTCTTGAGTAAATTAATTAGCTACAAAGCAGGCAGCTTCTCTTGCTGTCTGATCCTGAGATTATCATTGTGTGTGTCCAAACAAGCCAGGATTATAAACCACCATAGCTTTAATCAGGGTTTGTTATTATCATGGTTTATCTTGGTGCACTAAACCATACTCTCAAATCTGGACATAAGAAGAAGCTATCCTCTTCATAATTAGTTTACAAACCTAAGTGAAAGGAGGAACGGTTTTGCTACAGGTAATACCCTGCTAGCAGTTTACAACCTGATTTATTAAACTACATTTTTTTTGGTTTATAGTGATGTGCAAGTGGAGGTAATGTGCAATACTTGTCTTGACAAAAGCTCCGCCTTAATACAATTCAAGACTGAAAGGACTAAGGCTTAAAAACGACCCATAAAGCATATGTTGTAGTACACATGAAACACCAAACCTGTATTCAAAGGAGGGACAATTAAAAACCTCGAAAATGTTTAATTTAATTAGACCTATATTTGTGTAGTACCTTGATTAGCCCAACCAAAAGTTCACAAAAAATGTAGGAATTTCAGTTCTGATGATCATTTCATCTGGCAAGCAGAGAAAAGAATAGGTGGAGGGTTGAAGGTTGACTTGAACTCATTGCATCTGCATAATCACAGTCTTAAAATGGAAAGGGGGAAAAGGTGATGTAAGTGTTTCAGTTTATATCCCTAGGGCTACCCCTCTGTCTGCTAAGAACAATAGAGGAAGAAATATTTGATTCCCCCATAATTGTACTGAATAACAGCTGGATAGTTTATTTAAAAATAAAATTAGAAAACTGGATCAAACATTTCTTCTTTTCTTGCTCCTAGGGGCCTTTTTAGGTGAAACCTGAAGCTATTATATCACATTACTATTTTCTTCCTTCCACCTTCTTCTTGAGATATCACATTACATCAGTAGTGGGCTCATGTGGACAATAAAGCAACCACAGCCCCACATTTTCAGCACCTCTCCATCCCTGCACTAAAGACTAATATGAATGCCTTGAGACCACATTCCAGCTTGATCTGTGATCATGCACTTACTTAAACCTCCCCTATTTCCCCACATACATGTTTTTGTAACATTTTGCTTGATGGAGACATCTGAGGATATTAAAAACATACGCATATGTACAGGGTGACCAGATGTCCTAACCACAAAGGAGGACAAGGCACCACAAAGTAGAGGACATTTTAGAAAAATGGCCAAATAAAAACTAAAAACACTCATAAATGTAAATTCATGCATCTTAGTGATGCTCAAAAGGGACATTTTGAAATTTCTCCTGGACAGAAGGTTAAAATGTAGGACATGCTCAGGAAAAGGAAACCCTCTGGTCACCCTGTATGTGTATGGATTTTTGGTTGTCCTGATAAAGGTAAGGATTTGGAAACTTGTGTCATGGCTAACACTTTACCCCTAGAAGACATACTGGGATTAAAAAAAAAACATCTTAAATGAGAGCCCCAGTGTCCTGCAAAATACACTAAATATTGCTGGGGGGGAGGGGGAGGGGGGAATACCACCAGCAATTCATCTTACAGGCTTTGTTTAGAAAACCAGTTATCTTGAGATAACACCTTAACTTTGTTCAGCCTTTGATTTTCCTTCACACTCAGTGGGTCAACTGTAGGTGAAATGAGATGAAAGCTGGGAAAGGCGACTGCAGACAGTTATATATTTTATCAGGAAAAGGCTTGCTTAGAAACAGAGGACACAATCCTGACAAAGTTCAAGACATTTGATTTAAGTCTCATTTATTTAAACAGGGAGGCAGATAAGCACGTCCTCCTCCACTTAAATCAATGCACTGGCTGATGTCTTTCTCATCTAAATGAGTGGTGCCTAAATGAGTTGAACTTTGACTGAGCCATGTCCAGAGGGTCTACACAAGGAAAGAAGCATTCAGTGACAACTAATCTGAGGATAAACAATGCACGGAAGGAATGGGCAGGATCAAGCCTGGTGAATTCCATGGAATGACAAGTATGTGTAGATATGACACACAAGTTGTTCCAACGGAGCCAGTCAATGCCCAGGAACAGAGATGGAGAATTATGTACTTAATCCTATTTTCTTCCTTCCATCTTCTTCTTAAGATAAACTATCCGCATAGAGTTAGAGTAATGTCAGTCTAAGCACTGATTTTCAGCCTTTACCACTTAACAGTCCCAATTACACAGTTCAGGCTTTCACAACTTGGCACTATCCAGACTAGGGCTGCAGATCTCAGGAACTGGGTCTCCAGTTTTCATGAAGCATTTTCAGGAGGAAGATGAGGGTGCAACTTCTCCATTTTGGTGAGCTCACATCTGGATAAGAAGAAAGAGCTGTACAAATCTCCAGAGAGCCATGTATGATGTAGTGGTTTGAGTGTTGGACTACAACTCTGGAGACTAGGGTTCAATTCCCAGTGGGTGACCTTAGGCGAGTCACATGCTCTCAACCTCAGGAGAAGGCAATGGCAAACTTTCTCTTGCCAAGAAAACCCTATGAGAGATTTGCCTTAGGGTCACCATAAGTTGATGACTTGAAGGCATACAATACACACACACACACAGAAAGAGAGATAAACAAATCTTCAGCTCACCTAAACAAACAGAAACTTGCTATGATTTCCAAGGTCGTAGATTTGATGCACCAACTTGCAAAGACTTTCCAAGAGGTCTAGATATTTACTTTGCTTGCTCCTTCCCTCCCAGTCACTGTGGTACCAGAGTTCACTCTCCACCTCTAATCCCACATTCTGGCTAGAAAAAGATAGGCTATATTAAAGGGAACTTATCCCAGTGCAAAAGAATAATGCCCTCATTTTGGCCAGGGATGATCCTAAACTGGCAGCCCAAATCCACATAGATCACACTACAATTTCCATAATCCTCAGCCAGTCAGACATCTGCACTGGCTGTGGGTTATTATCACACACATCTGGATGGCACTGGATTGCAGATGACTAGTTTAATTAACATTGTACTGTACTGAATTATTTTTCTGTTATTTTGTGCTCTGGATACAAAAAGGTGGCACACAACACAAAGAACCACCTACTCTGAAAATATTTTTAGAAGTATTGTCAGCTCGGGCTATGGCAGATGTCAGAGGAGAGTAACACATAGTGGAGGGAGCAATGGCCAGCTGGCAGCAGCAATGGTGGCCCAGCAGCAGTATTGGAGGAGGTGGCAGTGGCAGAGGAGGTGGAAGCAAGAACAGCCTTGGTCCTAGCCCTGTTGGCACAACAATCTCAACCAGTAGAACCCCTGCAATCATTGAAGCAATGGAAATCTTCGGAGGGCACAGGTTGCTGCCTAGGCTGGACCCAGTGCTGGGGCAGCCCTGGAACAACTGGGGCAATACTGCTAAATTTTACAGAACAGCAGAGGTGCTTCAAAAGAAAGTTTCAGGGAATACAGGAAAAATGACAAAGCAATGTGAAAATAAAAACCAGTTAGTCTTATAGGTGCTGTCGCTTTTCTTTTCTTTTCCCCCCACTCCCATTTCCTTCTTCCTTTTTATGCTGCAAGAGACTAACATGGCTACTTCTTTGAAAACTAGCTATATGATTCTATGACTCTAAAAAAGCCCTGGTGGCACAGTGGTTAAATGCTTGTACTGCAGCCACAAGGTTGTGAGTTCGATCCCAGGGGCTCCAAGGTCCACTCAGCCTTCCATCCTTTCATAGGTCGGTAAAATGAGTACCCAGTTTGTTGAGGGCAATTGACTTAGACCAGGGGTCGGCAACCTACGGCCCGTGGGCCGGTTCCAGCCCAGAATCCCAGATTTACTGGCCCAGGCGGACCCCTGCCGCCGCCACCGCCGCCGC